CTAGCCTCTGGGCAGACAGCAGTGGAAGAGGTCCCTTGCACTCCTCCATCTTGGCAGTAACACCAGCTTCTTCTCCCGTTGATCCTCAGCCTTGACCACAGAGAGCCTCGAGGCACTTGCTGCTGCAGAACTGAAGCCCAAATAACCACCCGCAGCCTACTTCCTGCACTCTGCCTCGCAGGGTATAGGAGTTGGGTCTGAATGAATTTAAGGAATACCAACAAGTTGTCTTCATAGATACATTTATTTTTTTTCAGGCTGTCCTCAGAAAAACTCGTCCTTTCGAATGCAAATTTGCTTGTTTACCTTCAGGAAGTAGAAAAAGTCATCATCCTCCCCTTTCAATTTGAATCCTCCAATTCAATTCACTTTGAATTACTAACATGGTTCCGAGCCTGGGCATTAATGCTTGAATTTCCCTCACATGGAGCGATCACTTTGAGAAGTGTATTTCTCCTCCCATAACGCTAGGGGCAGACAGAGATCCATCCAAACACAAAGTCACAGGGACCCAAGTTGAAGGGACTTGGAATAGTTTATCTTCTGCATCAATCTCTACACACACACACACACACACACACACACACACACACTTTCCTTGAAATTGACATGAGGCTTTAATGCCTACAGTAAAGATTTTGATTTCCTAGGGTTAAGTTTTATAGCTTTAGAAAGCCAAACACCAAGACATAGCATGACATTAAAAAAATGTGCTGGAGCTATGTCTGCAATATTTCTCCAAATGTTTAAGCCATCTGCATCAAAATCACTTGGAAGTGTTGATTAAGGTGCAGATTCCCAGACCCACTCCAGACCTGAGGAATCAATAGCTGGGGGGTCGGTTAGAAGAGGGCAGGGAGTTCCAAGCATTCTTCAGTTTCAACAAGCAGCCTGGGAAATTCTGATGCGAACTACATTTTATGATCTAGTGCTTTAGGGCACAGAACAAGAATGCTCTGATACTTCTATTTCCAATTGAAAGGCAGGACCAAGCATAGTTTATAATCAGCCAAGAACCATTGCGTCTTCTGATGCTGCCTTTGAGGCTGGCCGTTGACATCAAAGCTGCTGTTCATTGGACAATCTTAGTTAACTTGGTTTGTGAGGTGGTGGTGTGGGAAGGCTTAGTACTTTCTCAAGGTCAAAGGGATCCTACACATTTTAGAGTGATTAAGAGCTTAGACTAATGTTACCCTGGAGAAAGTCTGCATTGGTGGTTTCTCTGTCCTGCTCTGTGGAGCTGTCTGCCTGAGGCTGGGAGGGTCATTTTCCTGATTGGGCTTGTTGACCATGTAGACAATTCCTAACTAAATGGGCTTTTCTCTTTTTTGAGCAGCAAGTCAAAATCTCCAAACATTTTCTTCTATAATTTTAAACCCAGTTTCAATTTTAAATGATTTAAAGGTCTACATAAGAGAGCGTTACAGGTCTAAAATAACATTCCTAAAGGTATGGTGTTATAATTCCTCCACAGAATTCTCATTTTGAATAAGCCAATCAACACTGGCATTCAGACACGGGAGGAATGCCTGCAAGCTTGCCTTTTGTGACAGATGCCATCCATTCATCCACTCCCAAGAAGCCACTGCGCAGCAGCCAGGACAGGAGCCTTTACAGGGTCCCCTCAGCACCTCTCCTCTGCTCTTTCCCCCTCTTGTTGTCCTTTCTTACGATCCTCTTGTTCAGATGATCTGCATTCTAATTCGCAAATCTTTTCTTTCCTATGTCTTTATATGTTTTCTCACTTTCTCCTCATCGTCCATGCTTTTACTGATTCTCAAAGGAGGAGCTTTAGAGAATATCTCTCAAAGCCACGGAGAAGAGGCCCGACTGTGGAGCTGTCTTCTTTTCCGTGATCTTCTCTCTCTACCTCCTCCCTAAATAGAGGAACACAAATGAGAGAAACAGACTCACATGTCACCATAGACTAGTCCACCTAGGGAGTTCCCAGATCGTTATGCTTGATGGATCATAATGATGATAATGATGGTGATGATGGTAAACGTTTATTACCCCTTCGTGCCTGACTAATGCCACAAGACCTCTCTTTAAGTGTCATAGCTTGAGTTCAGTTCTCTAGCACTGGTAGTCTACTGTTCAAAATGGCAGCAAGGAGTCAGTGTTGATTATTCCTCTCCCAATGTGCAGGACATTATTTTCTTGGAGACGGGAGGGAGGAAGTGATACAATAAATGTAAGACAATATAGTCCTTGCTGATTTTAAGCTTATAATACAACTTGTAGGCAAATGTATACATATGAATATATATTATATATTTACATATATACTAATATATAAAATACATTTACTATATTTTTAATATATATGTACTATATATATGAATACTATATATATTAATATCTTATTCACCTTTGCATTTTTACACAGCTTGATAGAAAACTGGAATAGAAATGCACTGAAGAACATTTATGAGTGAAAACATATAAATGCCATCTCTGTAAATAACAATGGTGTGGAAGAAAAAATAAAGGAATGATTTATGCCATTTACATTCAAGGGATTAGCTTAATTAAATAAATTAGCCTATTAATATTGTAGCATCATATAACAAAATGCTCAATAACTATTTGATGACCAACTAACTGAAAGGTTTATTTTCATTTTCCTCATTAAAATGTGTGAATAAACAAAACTAAAAAAATATTGTTCTCTATATTGGAAAGCCGTGATCAGTAAAAATTAATCTGCTTCAAATATTTCCACAAGTTATCAGCTACTCTTTTAGGACTCAAGGGATTGTTGACATTAACCAGGATTTCCAGGAAATCAAGATTTGATTCAAATTGAGAGATGTAAGATGTTATGAACCCAAAGATTTAAAAGGCATTAAAGTAAATGTTGACTAATCCCTTAGGGAAATCAGTCTGGGATTAGATTATGTTCCTATGACAAATCAGAAATTCTCAAGAAAATGGATAAAACACCATGCACATATTAAAATCTGTGTTTTATCTGGAAAATATAAAGAACAACACATTTATGTTGATATTTTGTAATATATGTAATTACTGTTTGCAAAATTGACTCAATTTTATGTAAATATAATATTATGAATAATGCCATGAACACATTGGATATTTTGTTGCTTTTTCAGGGGGGAAATAAAGCTTACATCTGAAAATATATAATCACGGAATGACACAGTTGCAAGGATCTTTATAACCTTCATAGTGAAACCCCTTCCCTTATCATTAGGGGAAAGCGAGGCTCAGAGGGGATGAGATCTACTCTAAGTCACACCCACAGTCTCAGCAGAGACAGTCTAAGAGCAAGATCCATGATTTATATCTTCTCCAGAATCACCATCTTTGACAGATGGTCCTTCAAAAGGGAGAAGCAACCAACTGAGATGCCTCTTGAAAATTTTCCTGATTATTTTAAGTCACTTTGTTGCTAAAAGTGTGATAGAAGAGGAAGAATTAATTCCTTGCTGTAGAAAGAACCAACTGTTCATTGGAACCTGAGCGGAATTTAGAGGGAAAAAAAATAAGACCACATCGAGGGTGGTCTTATTTTAAGCTACCAAATGACTCAAAAATAATAGTGATGGTAACTAAGACGTATTGACTGTTTACTATGTGCTAAGGCTAAGTATTTTAAATGATTTTTATTTCATTCACTTTTGAGAAGTATTATCTCATTTAATCCTCCCAATAACCTTAGAAAATAATTATTGTTATATTAATATGTTGTATATTGTAGATGAGGAAATGGATTCAGACAGGGTAAGTGTAAGTTACCTGTGATTTCGTAGCTGGTAAGCCAGGGTTGAAAACCAGGCAGCCTAACCATGGATCCTTAACCAGGCTTTTAAGTTTTATACTGTCCCATGAAGGAGGGAAATTTGCTGTTTGGCATCAAGGGGAAGTCCCAGGTAGAAGCGATGATGAAAAAGTTCATGTAGACACCTCTAGGATTCAGTGAAAATCTACATTAAAACTATGTCTGGGAGCAAACCCACTATTTCTCTTCAACCTTGAAATGAAGACGTCCCACCCCATAAAATACAACAAAAATCCTGTTTTTTTGTCTGTTTGGTGATACTTTTTTGACAAGGTTTCCTTTGTTTGAAAACTGCTTTTTACTGGGCTGCTTGAAATCTGAGGTTGGAGAATCTTTGATCTGTGGAAGGTGGTATAATGTAATGCTGTGGTTCTCAAACTCCCTGGTCTCAGAACTGCTTTGCCCGCTCTTAAAAATTATTGAGGACTCCAAAGAGCTTTTGTTTATGTAGGTTATTTCTATGAATATTTACCATGTTAGAAATTAAAACATAAATTTGTAAGTACAAGAATACACAAGTGCACATTCTATCAGCTGTCAGAGGGCTGCTGTCAACACACATCATGTAGCTTCTGGAAAACTGGACTGTATACTCATGAGAGAATGAAGGTAAAAAAATAATAAATTTCAGTATTATGAAAATAGTTTTGGCCTCGGATATGCTCACTGCCTAATGAGAATCACTGCTATAATTGTTCAAATTCTGGCTCTGTCACTACTAACGGCCATGTCATGTAGTCTCACTAGTATTCAGTTTCCTCATCTTAAAACGTGTATAATAGAATAGCATCTATCTTGTAGGTTTGGTGTTAGTATTCAATGAAATAATGTATATAAATACCATCCTTAGTTCCATGTAAGCACTCAATAACTGGTCGCCATTATTGGTATGGGTTGTGTATCTGACTGAGATTCCAGTGAAATAGAAAGTTGGAAATTAGCTGAGACCTGATTTGATTCGATAATTTATGAATCGAAATTGTTTGTGGGGTAAGGTATATTTTGTAAGAAAATGTTTTGAAAACATAATGGACAAAAATGTGTAGGTATAAATTTCATCTTGGCTCTACCTTTGAAATCGAAGTCTCTGTGAATTCCTTTTTCTTATTTCTTGCTATTAATAAGATGTCCACTTAATTAATTTAGTCACCAAAGAGCTACATCTGGGACATACTAAGATTGAAATGTCCACAGAGGGCCGGCCCCGTGGCTTAGCAGTTAAGTGCACGTGTTCTGCTGCTGGCGGCCTGGGTTCGGATCCCGGGTGCGCACCGATGCACTGCTTCTCCGGCCGTGCTGAGGCCGCGTCCCACCTACAGCGACTGGAGGGATGTGCATGTATGACACGCAACTATCTACTGGGGCTTTGGGGGAAAAAAATAAATAAAATAAAATAAAGAAACGTCCACAGAAATCTGTAACTGAATTGGAGGGAAGAGATAAGGGTGACAAAAGTATATAGAATTTTCATTTTTGAGAAAATAAAACAAAAAAAAGACGAGTTAAAAGACATCTGAACCTTGTTCCCCAAAGCAATGTCTGTGGTGTGTCAACTAAACTTCCTGCTCTTACAGAATTGCTCCCCGGTAACTGAGGGCTCGCATCAAAGCTTGAGGCTCTGCAAGACACAGGAACATCTACTAGATGAGCAAAGAGAAGTCTGCCTGTGTTCACAGGGCTTCAGTATCGAATGGATCTTACTTGATTCTACTGATTTAAACATCCATATTCCAAGTCACACGGACGGACCTTGAGGACATTATGCTAAGTGAAATAAGCCAGACACAGATGGATAAATCCTACATGATTTCACTTGTATGAAGTATCTAAAATTGTTAAATTAGTAGCATCAGAGAGAGGAGTGATGGTTGCCAGGGGCTGGAGGGGAAACTGGGGTGTTGCCAGTCAATGGGCATAAAGTTTCAGTTAAGCAGGATGAATAAATTGTAGAGACCTGCTCTACAACATTCTACCTCTAGTTAACAATAGTGTATGGTGCACTTAAAAAATTTGTTAAGAGGGTAAAGTGTTCTTATCGTAATAAAATAAAATTAAAAAAAATTTTAAGTACTCCTTTCTCTGAACATTCCAGATAAATGTACTGTCACTTGAAAATAAAAGGTACTCAACCGAGTCAGACCTGAGGAACACAGTAGCAGGGCTTTCTCTTAGATTTGGGATCAGGTCTGAGTGACCCAGAAAGATCCTGACTAGTTTCCCTGCTACGTGTTCTCCAAGTTCAGTGGTGTTTTGAGGAGCAGCTCAAGTAAAAACTGCAACTAGCTGTGAATTATTGAAGTAGGATTTGCGTGTGAGATTTGAGAGGATCTCTTGAACCTTAAAAGCAAATGGTGGTTTGCTCTTATCCTACTTGTTTTTAGAGAAATCTGCAAGGGCAGGAAAAACCAGATTGTAGGCCAACAATGAAGAAGAGTCACTAGTGAGCTACTTCAGGCGAGGAGCCTAAAACGACCCCTGCCAGGTGCTGCAGATGTTTCCTCTCGCCTTGCCTCCTCTCTTCAATTTTATCTGTATTGCACTCTTGCCAATTTCTTCTACCTAATTGCACTCTTCCCACCCCCACCCCCACCCCCGACCAATATTCTCTGTAAGGTCTTTAAATCAGCCAGAGGCTAAGAATTGAGAAGGGATGTGTTGACAAAAGTGTCCACTAGACTCCAAGCAATATCTACTTATCTACAAGTGTAAAAACACATCCTTATCTATTCTCAACTCACTGAATGATATTTCCACGCCATCTCCAGAAGGCGTTTGTGTACCCATGCCAATGGTCTTTCTGAAGCCATGGAGTGAAAAAAGAATTTTTCCGGAGAACAGAAGATTATTTATATTGGAGCCAACGAGATAGTTCACAGGCTCCGGTATTGTCGCTTTAGCCAGTGATGAGCGGATGTTAGTTTCTTCTGATATGCGAGGAAGGAGAGTGCAATGTTCTCACCATCCTGATGTCATCTCCGATTGTTATTTTTGTTGTACTTCTAAAGAATAGGATTTCTGGCATAAAGATTTATCTCAGGATTCAGCATAGTAGTGTTCTGAGATCCAGGGCTCCCACGATGATGGATTTATACAGGTTGTGATTCTCTGACTAATTTGCTTTGAATGAAACGAACACTTGGGAAAACCAAAATGTTATTCCCAAGATTTTACATCCTAACTGGAAATAAAACAGGGAATATAGTGCAAAAAAACAATTTATTTTCACCTCTGGACGTCAAAATGGACTTTTTATTTGTCATTTAAATTAATTTAAAAAATAGATGATAACTCAGTTGTACTTTTTTCTTCTTTACACAAAAATGGCAAGACCTTGCAGTACCATTCCCCCCCCCCCTTTTTGCTAATGTAAACGATTTTAAACACTATGTCGCTGGAAATAGTGAATATTTTCATGGCTTGCCCCTCCCTGCTACATAAGTATGTATGTTAGTGTTTTTACTCTGTCATCAGAGAAGGGAGGGAGTTCAGGGCACTGTTGGGGTCCGTATCGGTCAACTCAAACTGCCGTAACAAAGTACCACAGACTGGGGGCTTAAAGAACAGAAATCTATTTCCTCACAGTTCTGGAGGCTGAAAGTCCAAGATCAAGGTGCCCTCAGGGTTAGTCTCTCCTGAGGCCTCTCTCCTTGGCTTGTAGGCGTCCACCTTCTCGCTGTGTCCTCATGGCCTTTCCTCTGTGCACAAGCATACCCACTGTCTTTTCCTTTTCTTATAAGAACACCAGTTCAATTGGATTAGGGCCCCACATTTATAACTTCATTTAACCTTCTTTACCTCTTTAAAGCCCCTCTCTCCAAATACAGTTACATTGGGGGTTAAGGCTTCAACATATGGATTTTGGGAGACACAATTCAGTGCAAAACAAGATCTTTTTTTCCCAGTTTTATTGAGATATAATTGACATATAATATTTTATAAGTTAAAGGTGTACAGTATAATGATTTGATATATGTATATATTGCAAGATAATTACAATAAGTTTAGCTAACATCCATCACCTCACATAGTTACATTTTTTTTTTCTTGGGCTGAGGACTTTTAAGATTTACTCTCTCTTTGCAACTTTCAAAGCTACAATGTACAATCTCAGTATGTGTAGAATCTAAAAATACCAAACTCATAAATACAGTGAACAGGTTGGTAGTTGCCAGAGGTAGGGGGTTGGCAACAGACAAGTGGCACAGAGCACCAGTACCTTCATGCAGTGAAATGGGGGCCTCTAGGGCCAGGCAGCAAGGTAAAGTCCTTGCAAGCCAAAGCTGAGGCAAAGGCAGTTATGCCCATCGCTTGAGGTGTGAGATCTTGGGCTGAACCCAATGATCTCTTTTGTGAGACTTAGAGAGTTTGGTGCACATGGTGGTTAACCACTCTCTTAAGGCTTCAGCGCACTGACTTGATTGTTTGTTTGTTTTTTTGCTGAGGAAGATTCGCCCTGAGCTAACATCTGTTGCCAATCCTCTTCTTTTTTTTTCCTTGAGGAAGATTAGCCCTGAGCTAACATCTGTGTATTCTTCCCCTATTTTGTATGTGGGTTGCTGCCACAGCATGGCTGACGAGTGGTGTTAGGTCTGTGCCCAGGATCCAGTCCTGTGAACCTGGGCTGCCCAAGTGGAGCACGCTGAACTCAACCACTACACCATGGGGCCAGCCCCATGATCATATTTTTTAGATGTTATTATTCCTTTCTGGCTACCTGCATAAAACCTGAGTTATGTCAAAGATTTATTTTAAATAAAAATTCATTGTTTCATAATTTGTGATCAATTTGATGGGGTAGAATAAAGGAAGTTTATATATGTGAGTAGGGAAAGACTCAGTCTTCCTCCTGTGTGTTACTTCTTTACTCTCACACCACTACCACACTCACAACACTTTTGATACCAGTTGTGTGTGGCGATTTGTTTTCCCACACCAAGCAATTCTGTGACACCAGCTGGGTGTCCTACAATTTAACTCAGTTCTGAAACTATCAACCTGGAGATAGCGTCAGATCCCACAAGTTAAGGGCTCAGTCCTACGAGATTGTCCCCCCTTCACCCCCCACTTCAGATGCCAATCACAAATCCAGGTTGTCATCTGTACTTCTAACGCACTGGCTATAAATCAGAGGTTCCCGTGACCCCTCCTTGGGTTTGATAATTTGCTAGAATGGCTCACAGAACTCAGAGAAACACTTACTTAATGTTTACCAGTTTATTATAAAAGGATATGATAAAGGATGCAGATGAACATCCAGATGGAAGAGATACATAGGGCAAGGTATGTGGGAAGGGGCACAGAGTTTCCACGCCCTCTCCAGGTGCACTACTCTCCCAGCATCTCCACGTGTTCACGAACCTGGAAGCTCTCTGATCCCTGTACTTTTTGGATTTTTATGGAGGATTTATCATGTAGGTATGATTGATCCACTCCAATTCCAGCCCGTCTCTCCTTTCTCTCTAGAGAATGGGGGGTGGGGCTGAAAATTCCAAACTTCTCGTCATGGCTTGGTCTTTCTGCTGACCAGTCTCCACCCAGGAGCCATCCAGGAGTCACCTTATTAGAACAAAAGACACTGCTATCACCCAGGAAATTCCAGGGATTTTGGAGCTCTATGCCAGGAATCTGGGTCAAAGACCAAATATTAGAACAAAAGATGCCCCTAGTGCTCTTATCACAGGAAATTACAAGGGTTTTAGGAACTCTGTGCCAGGAACTAGGGGCAGAGGATGATATATATTTTTTCTATTATCTCATAGTTTGTTATTGGAAAAAATGTGATATAGAATAATTTTTTAAAGCTCACTTAAAATGAAAGCAGTGCAAGGAACATGAACGCCGGAATCATATCTCAGCTAGTCACTTACTGAGTTATGTGGACAACTTGCTTAACCACCTTTGCTGAAAAATTAATGACAATCTCTACTTCTTGCAATAGTTTTAACTAAATGACAGAATATATCTAACTCTCAAAGACCACTTAATAAATGCATATTATCTATTAATATGTGCTAGGTACTACCAAAAAATAATTTTTATTTTTCATTTGTACAATTACATAAAAATAACGTGAATTGATATGACACTTTAAAAATTTCATTTTAAAGTACTTTCAAATTCATGGTCTCATTTTATCAATAACTGAGGTGGGAAAAACTATTATCACTTTTTACAAATGAGAAAACCACTGTACCTTGTCATAAAATGTTAGCCCTAACAAGATTTGTAGAGATGCGCTAGTCTGACTCCTCTTGTTTTAAATCAGGAAGCTGAGACCTAGAAAGGTCAAAGGGATTGCTCAAGGTCACATAGTAAGTTGTGGAACTTGGTTTATTTGTCAAATAGTTACAGAACTCCTACTCTGTGCTGGCATTGAGTTACAGAACTCCTACTCTGCTGGGTATTGAGCTTGCTCTTGGGGTGGGAGAGGAGCTGGGCAAGTACAGACCATGAGGATGCATTACTGTGAGATGAGACGAAGATGGGCTCAAGATGCAACGAGAGCACATAGGAGGCTGGAGGGAATGATTGACAGGAGTGGTACGGGAAGGCTTCCTGGAGGAAGTGGTGCTTGATCTGAGTTTTGTTACCTGAGTACATTAATTAGAAGAAGGGCAAACACCATGTCTGGCCAAAGAAACAGCACGTGCAAAACTACAGAGCCTTGACTAGACACAGCGTGTCTGGGGAACCATGAGTATTTCAAGATGGCAGGACCCCTGGGTGGTTATGGGAGTGTGGAAAGGGAAAAGCTGGAGATGCCGGCTGACGTCGGACCAGGCCTTTCTGGACCTGGTGTGCCCAGCTAAAGAGTTTAGATTTTAACCAGAAAGCAATGGGAAACAGCTGAGAGATTTTAAGCAGGAATTATGGGATTGTCTTTGAGGGGAGATAAAACACCTTTTCCGCTGAGATGGCAGAAAAGAAGCAAAAATTAGGAATTAATGTTAAATTAAAAAACACTGAAAGACAATCCAGGTTTATTCCAACACTCTTTCTTCTACAGTAGACTGCTTAAGTTCTTGTTATCATCCAAATATTTTCAAGACTATGTCTTGAAAAAAATTATATGTATAATTGGATTAAATCCTAATTCAGATTAATCTAGGCTAATATCTCACCATAGTTTTGTGAGCAATGGGAAATTTATACCTGGAATTTTACCCTGCTACATGAAACAGTAAATATAGATCTAATTCCTCTCCAAGTTAAAAGAGCTAGGAATGTGCAGTTGAGTCGTGGGTCTGGTGATGAGCACTGGGGAGGCGTCAGGAGAGCTGTGTCTGGCTGCAGCTCTGCCACCAGCTCCCTTTGTGAGCCTGGAGACACGGCACCAAGAGCAAACGCCTGCCTGGCAGGTACCCTGCTCCAAGCATGTTCGTAGGCTCACTAGTATTATCCTCATTTGAAAACTAATTAGTCTTTTCAGGCTGCTATAACAAAAATATCATAAATTGAGTGGCTTACACAACAAACATTTACTTTGCACAGTTCTGGAGGCTAGAAGTACAAGATCAAGTCGCCAGCAGGTTCGATGTGTGGTGAGGGCCTGTTTCCTGGTTCATAGACAGTCGTCTTCTCGCTGTGTCCTCACTTGGTGTAAGGGATGAAGGAGCTCTCTGGGGTCTCTTTTATAAGGACACTAATCCCATTATGAGGGCTCTGCCCTCATGACCTAAGCACCTGCCAAAGTCCCCACCTCTAAATGCCATCACTTTGGGGGGTTATGTTTCAACATATGAATTTGGGGGGACACAAACATTCAGTCTCTAGCGCTCGCCCAAGGTTTCACAATTGGAAAAGTCCAGGTGATCGCTAAGTCCCATCCAGGCCTATGATTCTGAGTGGAAGGTTGAACTCAAGTGTCTTCTGCAGCCGTTGTCTCTAGAGGTTTCCTGGAGCTTCTCTGCATGCTTCTATTAGGGAGCCAGAACTGAACTGATCTGTCTCAAGAGAGGTCACAACAGAGAAGATCACCTGGAAAAACCAGCCTCAGGGGGGGAACAGATAAGAGCTGCCGTTCCCTGAATGTCTCCTCCTGCCAGGCCCTTTACTCCTGCATGGCAATGTCCCCCGAGGAGGAATCGTGATCCTGACTTTGGCTGAGGGTGGTTCCGTAACGTGTCTAAATGCACAGGACCAATTAGTGTGGAATCGGGGATGGAACCCACGTCTGCCCGACTGCAGGGATCGTTCATTCCTTTGCATACCTAATTACAGCCTGAGTGAGAGGCGGTGTGGAGAGATCTGAGGACTGGGAGTTAGTGTGGGTATGGGCATTTGGATTAAATAAAATAAAGCCTTTTGAAGGCTTTGGATGAGTTTCTGCAAGAAAATTGTTACTATCTTTTTCTAATTCTTAGGCCAAAAATGTTCCTAAGATAAGACCCCACTTTAGGGGGCTTGTCCTCCACCTGCTCTTTTAGGGATGATCCTTCAAAGGGTCGAAGATGCAGCAACTCCACGAGGCTCCTCCCCCAGAGGGGAAGGGTGGGGCTACCAGGCTGCTGCTAATTGAGACCCCAGTGGTCCATACACTTCCCCCGCCACGGGCGCTGGCTGCCAGCTCACACACTGTCCCTCCGTCCTTTTTCCTTGGAGGCTTCCCTTGTTTTCCTTGAAGCAGTTTTCTTCTGTATTTGTGTGTGGGTGCAAAGGAAGAAAAAGATGTGATAAAAACTGGGTCATACACCCCGTTCAGCATGCCTGAGCACTCAAAGGAAGTTAATATGATTTTTAAGAGCTCCATTAGATTTGTACTTGGAAACTATCATTTAGTTATTTTATTCCCTTAAATAATATCGTTTTTCCGTGAACAAGTCATACAAACTCTTCTGGCCTCACAATTACCTAAACTATGAAATGAAGAGGGTTGAATAACATAAAATTTAAGGTTTTTAAAATAAATGTCTGCAAAATCCAAATTGTGTGAATAATTATGTACATATTTTAAGGCAAGAATGTAGAAGCAACTTGATCATGCAGACCATAAGCTCTTCAAGGGCAGGGCCCACCTTTTTAATTTCTTCTGATTCCCCCTAATGCTTGGTGCTTAGCACTGAGCAGGTGTTCAATAAGCCTTGTTGGCTGTCAAGTCAAGTGCTAAGATGCAGAAGCTTTATTTGTCTGCACAAATCTGTGTTGGGGGCCACCCCTGCCAAAATAGGCCAGTGAATTAAAGGTCTATAATTAGACACACAGTGTTGCATCAGGCACTTTGTGTCCCTGCTTGTCAACGTGTTCCCACGATGACGTAGTGACAGTTGCCAGTCTCTCTTTGGGCCTGTGTTCAGCTGATGGGAATGTTAATTTCACTTTATTTTTGTTCTTGACAGAGGAAAAACTCATCAATCAAGCCCATTAAGCCCATTGCAGACGGGCTATCATTTTATAACTCAAGAAAGGGATTTTTTTCCTTCTTAAACTGCAAGTAATGGGTTGGGGGTATAAATTAGAAATTGAAAGAAAGGTCAGTCTGTTTGTAAAGTCAAAGAAATGTAGTCTGAGTAGTCGGAAAAGGAAAATGCATGGGCAATTTAATCCCATTTATCAAGAAATTATTGTTTGTCAGGAATTTTGTGTATGATGTGTTATCCGACTTTATCTTCACAAAACCCCCATGGCAATGCTAGTGTATTATTTGCCCATTTTACAGATGAGAGAATAGGTTCAGAGAGATAAAACAGCTTGCCCGAGGTCACATAGGTGGTAACCGGTGGGCGAGGTCATCTCTCTGATCCCCAAGCTGCTATGCTAATCACTGTCCTCTCCTCTCCCCCACCTCCCCTTCTCTCTCCCGTTCCCCCGCTCCTGTTTTATGTGTGTGTTGGGGGCGGGGGCAGGCATTGGTCTGTTTTGGCGGTCACTCTTATTCTGCCTTTTCCCTGTCTACACTTTGAATAGATAAATTAGTAGTTTTCTGAAAAACATGCTATGCTTGTTCTGTTTGTAGGCATTTCTCTGTAGGGTTCTAGGAGCTGTACGTATTTCATAATTTTTTCAAGTTCTTGCCTCTTTCCTCCCTATTATTTTAGTCAAAGAAAGAAAAAGAGCTGGGAGTGGGAATAATAGCAATCACAAAGACATATCATTGTTCACAATGGAGAGTTACTGTTTTACTTGATCCTCATGACAAACCCTGGGAGGCAAGTGGGGTGTGATGGCTAATCCTCAATTTATACACGAGGAAGGGGAACTCTGTGCTCTAAAGGTGTGCTCAACATCACTCAGATGGCGAAGCAAACGCTGGACTTGAATCTGCATCATTGACTCTAAGTTTGGGATTCTTGAAAATACAGAGAAGTGTGATTTCAATAATGACTTCCCAGAGCTTTCTAGGGGATTTGGGGCCGATGGCAACCTGACATCATCCCTCTTCCCCACCATTCCCAACGCTAAACCTACTTGTCAGTCCTGACCCAAGCAGCTTCCAGGGCTGGCAGGCGGCTCAGAGCAATTAAGGCCTTAGGCTCC